TTGTAAGAATTTTTGTTCCTGAAAAGTTTTTGTTTGAAGGGGTGTATACCCCTTGCCCTTAGCCCTACGCCTTCAAGATAAAGAGAATTGGGACACCACTACCCCTTCACAGGCACGCACAAAATGAGGGGTAAGGGGAAGGGCTAAGGGGTAGAATTGGGCCTAAATGCATAGCTTCTTGTCCAGTGATAAACCGACTTCATATCATCTCTCAACCAGTCAGTTGAAGATCATCGATTTTAAACAAATCGGATCTTAAATGCTGTGGGTGATTTGTTTTTGTATTTTCAGAAACATTGCAGTCATCTCGACAAGCATCGACAAGAAATATTTTAGCATAAAATCAAGACACATCAAGCATAGTTCCACAGCTTAAAAGACTGAGGGTTGATCTATAATTAAAGGAGAGCATTCAGTTCTGAATAAATCCAATTCGGATCTCATTCATACTATTAAACACCGCTCTGCCATTCACAGAACACTGCTCCAAATATGAATTGACTCTTAGAGAGCTTAAGCTTATTTCAACCTGATTCCATTGTTACTCGAGGAGGCTTTGCATCTCTCAGCCTCTTAGTAAGTCTTTGTTGATTATAATACAGCTTAAAGCCGCTCTCCCAATGAGAGGACACAAATCCCCTTTTAAATACAAGCAAATAATTACATCTCAACAAAGCCTTCCTTTTTTATGTAAAGGAAAATGTTCATATACAGTTGAAGTCAGAATTATTAGCCCTGCTGAATTATAAGCCCCGCGGTATTTTTTTTTCCGACAAATTTCTAAACATAATAGTTTTAATAACTGTTTTCTTTTATCTTTGCCATGATGACAGTACATAATATTTTACTAAATATTTTTCAAGACACTAGTATTCAGCTTAAAGTGCAATTTAAAGGCTTACTGGTTAATTAGGTTAACTAGGCAAGTTAGGGTAATTAGGTAAATCATTGTATAATGATAATTTGTTCTGTAGACAATTAATATATATATATATATATATATATATATATATATATATATATATATATATATATATATATATATATATATATATATATATATATAATTAAGGGGTCTTGTAGTGGCAACCAAGGCTCATTGCGTATATGTATCCAGGTTTATATTTTTGGGCACAGCAAAATATGTAATCATCTGCTCACAGTGTTTGTTTTTTTGCAAATCCACTAGAGGCCGCTGTGTATGCTTCTTGATTATCTCAAATTTCTGTTACGCGTCCTCTTCCTGTGTAAATCCACCAGAGGGCGCAATATACACTTCAGCTGACAAGGCCAGCTTGCAGTCGACTGACCCACCCACCTCCTTCTCTAAACCCAACGATAGTGTTTTCAAAAGCAATCTAGAAAAAGAAAAGCCGTCACTTGCAACTCAGACTAATTCTGAAAATGTACCCCTATATACATTTCCGGAGAGCTCAAATTACATCACAGAAGGTACAGGTTTTTTTGCAGTTTTTGCGAAGCCACCAGAGGCCGCTGTGTACACTTTGAGATCTCAAAATTCTCTTGCGAGTGCCATTCGTGCCTGCTCTTCTTGCGTAAATCCACCAGAGTGGACTGACTGACCGATCGAGCTCAACTCCTCTTTGCATCTCAAGTCCGCCAAAGTACACTGCGAGCCACTGGACAAACTAGTAACTGCGGGAAAGCCGTCCATTTGGAGGTAAGCGGTCAGTTGCTAATGCAAAATGGAATGGCGTCATACCAACCCGTAACATTCGTATTATCCACTTCTGGCTGCATAATTTGCCATCTCTAGAACTATTAATGAGGGTACTTTTTCAGAATTAGCCTATGTTGGTTATGGGATTTCACCACGTCATTTTAGCCTGTGGTTTATTTATTAACTTTGCTTTTGTTACTTTGTTACTTTTTTTGGAATCGTTCTTTGCCGGACTCGAACTCTGTTGACGGGGTCAATGCAGCTCCGCGTCCAAAGTCCGTCAACGTACACAGTGAGCCACTGGACAAATTGGTAACACCGGAAAAGCCTTCCGTACAGAGGTAAGCAGTCAACTGGTAAGCTCGAAAGGAACAGAAGCTGTCAGCAGCGTCCTACCGCCACCCAAGCGTTCATTTTAAAGATGAAATGCAGCCAGATGTACCACTGGCTACATAATTCATGCTTTCCAGAAATGTAAACAGAGATACATATCCACAATGAGCATGTGTTGCATATTATTGACCTTAAAAACTGCTTTTATTCGAGCCAAAATAAAACATAAGACTTTCTCCAGAAGAAAAAAAATATTATAGGAAATACTTAAAATGTTCCTTGCTCTTTTAAACATCATTTGGGAAATATTTGAAAAAAAAATTACTGGGGATTTTGACTTTAACTGTATGTACAGGTGAATCAAAAGTTTTGTTTGTGAAGGGTGTGTTAGGAAAAGACTGCACACACTGGGTTTTTTCCCTCTATGTTGTAATGGGTCTGAAATTAAAGAGATTTATTCTTTCCTCAGAATGTTGCTTTTTTGTATATCCCGACTTCTATGTTCTTACATTGAATCATAAGACAGTAGAGCCCTTGTGAAGACACCAAGCCTGAGCAAGCCTCTCTTAGCAACTGTGGCAACAATATCCATTCATCTGCTTTGAATGTTGCTCAGGAAAGAGCTGGAGTCTTCGGGCATTAATTTGTAACTGCATGGCTGTTGAAACGCTGGGGGATGTGAGGTCCGCGCAAATGAAAAAGGGGTGCGGGATCCCACTATTGGACCTCAAAACGCTTAAAGCAGAAACTGGATGCTTCCATACAAACTGAATGTTGGAAGTTTGACTTGAAAATGTAGAAAAATGAGAAGGCACATTTAGATTGTGTTGCTTACAGGGGTAGAAATATTAAAGAGAACATAATGCTTGTGCAATTGGAACTTGTTTTCCCCAGTAAAACATATTAGCATGATTGCTTTCCATCATAGTCAGTAACTATTATTTTAATAAAAATAATTGGTTGGTTGCTTGGTTGGTTGGTTGGTCACTTGGTTGGTTGCTTGTTCACTTGATTGGTTGCTTGCTTTGTTACTTGCTTAATTGCTTGGTTGGTCGCTTGGTCACATGGTTGGTTTGTTGCTTGCTTGTTTGGTCGCTTGGGTGGTCACTTGGTTTGTTGCTTGGTTAATTGGTCGCTTGGTTGGTTGGTTGCTTGCTTGCTTGCTTCCTTGGTTGGTTGGTCTGTTGTTTGGTCGCTTGTTTGATGACTTGGTTAGTTGCTTGCTTTGCTTTGTTGCTTTGTGTGTTGCTTGCTTGCTTGTTTGGTTGGTTGGTTGGTTGCTTGCTTAGTTGGTTGCTTGCTTGGTTACTTGCTTGGTTGGTAATCTGCCATCCCTGAAATCTTGTGGATGTTAAAATTACAAAAATAAGCATTTAAAGCATCAGTTTTTTTTTTTTTTTTGGTTGGGCATCAATAGTCATCACTGAATTCTGGTTAATCTAAAAACACATTTTTTATTTAGCTTTAGTTAGTTAGGTTTAGTTAGTTAGATAGTTATTAAAATCACTTAGTTATGAATGTTAGATTTGTTATTTAGTAAGTTAGTTAGTTATGAAATTGACACTTTAAAGCATTTGATTGATTCATTGATTGATTGTTTGATTGATTGGGCATCGATCATGACGTCACTGAATTCTGGTTTATCTAAGGACACTTTAAAGCATTTATTTATGTATAGTAAGGTAATTAGTTATGAAAACTATTTAGTTATTAAATTTAGTTGCATTAGTTATGAAAATGACACTTCAAAGCTTTGCATTTGATTGATTGATTGATTGATTGATTGATTGATTGATTGATTGATTGATTGATTGATTGATTGATTGATTGATTGATTGATTGATTTAACATAAATGACAGCAGTCATGCCATCACTAAATTGTGGTGCATAATAAAGCAAAACAAAAAAAATCCAAAGAAAAAAGAAATTACTTTTTGTTGTTGTTGTTGTTGTTTGACTGGAATGTTTTTTTTTAATCAAACATAGGTATTAATATTAGACACACATCATGCAGACTACATTATGATATATAGTTTTCAAAATGCCACGTAAACATTTGTCTAAACATCTCCTTTGGGTTTTTATTATTACACAATTACACAAAATAATTTGAATAATTAAGAATAACTATAAACATCCCAAATACAGCCAAAACAAAAAGTATTGAACACGTCACCATTTTTCTTAGAAAACACATTTCTGAAGGTGTTGTTGACTTGAAATATTTGGATGTTGGAAACAACCAAATAAATTACCAAATGCAAACTAAACAATTCTAATTAGTTTAAACATTTAATTATGCATAACAACATTAAATGAGACAGGGAAAAAGTATTTAACACATGAAGAAAGGGAGGTGTAGAAAGGCAGTGAAAGCCCAGACAGCAGCTTCAGTCCAACATCTACATTAGCAGGAGGATGAAGATGAAACCAGAGTGGACATTTCAGCAAGACAATGATCCAAAACACAGCCAATAATACTCCCAAATGCTTTCAGAGAAAGAAACTCAAGCTGTAGAATGGCCCAGCCAATCACCTGACTTGAATCCAATAGAAATTTTTTTTTTTTGTATTGTTTGGGTTTTTACCAAAATCTGGTTTAATTCCATGTCAACAGCTCCTTTAGAAATAATATTTCCAGAAAAAACATGACATATTCAACACTTACTTTCCCCACAGTAGCATATATAGTAGTAAACTCAAAAAAGGGTGAAACTGGTTTGCTGATCATGAGGCTCTGACCAGCACTTCACAGCAAGGAAAAAAGGAATGGAACAGCTGGTATCATGTTACATTGACAGAAGCATAGTTAATGTGCCTCCACCTTCCTTGCGTCCGTGACCCCAGAAGTCTCCGATAAAATATCCTAAATCAATTGGAGAAAGCAGAAAGCAGAGTCAGTAATGCTGTGATTGATGAGAGTGATGCGAATATTTGTAAGCTGATAAGCCTCTTCTCTCTCTCTGTCTTCTCTCTCTCTCTCAGAAGGCGTACAACATTGAGCAGCAGAGTGTGAAAAATGGAAAACACATGAATGGAGTGGGTAAGTCTATACTATACTCCTCTTTGGGAACAATGAAAGCCAGAGGAACAATGCACTCCTGCCACATCTCCTTCTGTTCCTTGTCAGTGTCTTTGACCTTGTTTCTTGATGCATCATGGATGCATTAAAAAGACCTCCCGTTTACCTGTCATGCTTTTTTGATGTAAAATTATAATTAAAGGGATAGTTCATGCAAAAGTTCATATGTACTCACTATTAGGCCCCGTTTACACTGCCAGTTAAATGTGACCCAATTCTGAATTTTTTTTTTTTTGCTCATACTTGACACAGATCGGATCAAGTGGTTCCAAATGTTTATGAGGGTTTTTTTTTTTTCCTGTTGAACGTAAAAGAAGATACTTTGAAAAAGAAACCGGTAACCATCAACCTCTATTGTAGAATAAACAAATACCATGGAAGTCAATGGTCCAGCTCTCTTCAGAATAGCTTATTTTTGTTCATCAGAAGAACAAAAAAAGGCAAACGGGTGCGTTTCCGAAAACATTATTTTTTTTATTTTTTTATTTTTTCAAAACCTGTCGGCGAGTCAAAATCGGGGCTAAAATGATGCAGTCTGAACTCAGCCTTAATATGTCACTTGAAGTCAGAATTATTATATTATTATTATTATATTATATATATATATTTCCAAAATGATGTTTAACAGAGCAAGAAAATTTTCACAGTATGTCTAATAATATTTTTTCTTCTGGAGAAAGTCATATTTGTTATATTTTGGCTAGAATAAAAGCAGTTTTACATTTTTTCAAAAACCATTTTATGGTCAAAATTATTAGCCCCTTTAATCTATTTTTTTTTTTTTTTTGGATAATCTACAGAACAAATTATCATTGTACCATAACTTGCCTAATTACCCAAACCTGCCTAGTTCACCTTATTAACCTAGTTAAGCCTTTAAATGTCACTTTAAGCTGTATTGAAGTGTCTTAAAAATATCTAGTAAAATATTATTTACTGTCATCATGGCAAAGATAAAATAAATCAATTATTAGAAATGATTTATTAAAACTATCATATTTAGAAATGTGCTGAAAATCTGTTCTCTGTTAAACAGAAATTGGGGAAAATTAACAGTGGGGCTAATAATTCTGACTTCAACCGTACCTGTTTTATAATGATATGATCAATTGTAGTTAAAAAAAAAAAAAAAAAAACACTGAGTTTTTCTCCTTTAAGTACTTTTTTTGCAGTCTTTGTTGCCAACTTGTGGCGTAACGTCAACCCTCAATTTTTTTGCTCTGTTGACAGCCGCCGAAATGCTGAATATCCAAAATTATATTTAAAAATAGGCACTATCCTTATAAATAAACCGCATTATTGCAATCTAAACTGCATTTAAAAGCCTCAAAGGTACATTATGTTGTCCAACAGCTCGGATATTTGTCAAACTGTAGTGAGATTATTGCCTTAAATAAACAACAAATTCAGTCAATTAATAAATCACAATACAATAAACAAGAGGATGAGCCCAATGATGATGTCTACAGAAGATGTTTTACAGTAAGTTACTGTATATGTAATCTTAAATGCAATCATGATCATTCCCAACATTTGCGATTTAGCTGAAATTGCTGAAAGTATGTATTCGAGAAGGATGAAATCTTCTTGATAGACTAATGGTGTGAGATTTAGCAAAAAGAGAGAGAGAGAGAGAGAGATTAAGCTGTCCACTAATCCTATCAGACCCCTGAGAGAGAGAGAGAGAGAGAGAGTGAGAGAGAGAGAGAGTGAGTGAGTGAGTGAGTGTGTATGTGTTGCGTGTATGTAAAAGAATCGAGCTGGGAGGAGCAAAAGGGGCGTGGCTTTGGTGCCTGCTGGTCACATGATTGTTTACACTGTGAGAGAGGAGGCATGTGTGAAGAACAGCAGAAACTCAGGAGAAACAACACTCGCATAATCATGTAGGATATCTGACACACACTTAAACACATACACACACATACACAGAACAGGATGGAGCACAAACACAGTCTGTATCCCTCTGAAACTCAGCCCAGCAGACCCAGAGATGTGCTTGTTAAATCAGGTAAGACAGAAATCAACACACTGAGATTACAGGATGCTGCTCTGATGCTGTAGTGTGTGTGTGTGTGTGTGTGTGTGTGTGTGTGTGTGTGTGTGTGTGTGTGTGGTGGGGGGGTGGTCAGGGGTGTTTTACTCTTCCGGTTTTTGTTATTTTTGGTTTAAGGTGTCCTTGGTATACTCTTCCTTCATTTATTTATAATGGTGAATTATTGCTTGTGTTTATTATGTGGTTGGGGTTAAATGCAGGGTGGCTTTAGGGTTTGTTGCATGTAATTATGCTTAGCTTATTGTAATTACTATAGTAAATACATGGAATGTGTGAAACAGGGTCAGGTTAAAATAAAATATGTGGGTTTATTGTTCTATTGTATTATTGTAATGTAACCAAACTGTTATAATATTGTAATTACGTGTGTGTTTTGGTGTGTTATGTTGCAATACATTATATTTACACATTTGTTGTCCCTGGTTTAAAACAACGGCAACAACAAAAATAAAATAAAATTAGTTTAAATAATATAAATAGGTTTTATTACTTAAATGTTTAATAACTTATATAAGTTTAAAATAAGTTTACAAGTAAATAAACAAATAAATAAACACATTTTAAGTTCAAATATTTGGATACATTTTATTATTTATAAGTTTTAATAACTTATTTAATAACTTAAGATACAAGTTTAAAATACACTTACAATTAAATAAAAAAACAAATCAATTTGAAGTTTAAATATTTTAAAGAAGTTTTAGAACTTATAATTTTAATAACCTAATTTAAATTAGTTTAAAATAATTTTATGACTAAATAAATCAATTTAACATTTAAATATTTAAATAGGTTTTAATTAAACATTTTGATAACTTATTTTAAATAAGTTATTAAAAGTTTACAAATAAATTAATAAATAAACAGTAAAGTAATTTAAGTACAGGTTATTACTTAAGTTTAAAAAATGTAATTTAAATATGTTTAAAATAAGTTTACAATTGAATAAATGAAAAAATATATATATAAAGATTAAATATTTAAATGCATTAAATTACATATAAGTTTCATTAACTTAATTTAAGTTAATAAGTTTACAAACTTAAATAATTAATTTAAATTACATTTACATTTTTATTTTCATTTACATTTTCATTTACGTTTTTATAAATTAGTTATTACTTAAAAATAAATAAATACATGAATAAATCAGTCAATCAATTTCAAATTTAAATATTTAATAGTTTTTTTACTTCTATGTTTAAATTATTTTAAATAAGTTTCAAATAAATTTAAAATTAATAAGTAAATAAGCTTAGTTTAAATATTTTAATTATGTTTTATTACTACTAAATTTATGTATAAATCAATATAACATTAAATAAACATTTTAAAAAGTTATAATTTTTAACAACTTATTTTAAATAAGTTTAAAATAAGTTTACAAATAAATAAATAAATGCTATTATTTATAATAAATACAATTGTTTATAATTATTTATAATATATGCAATTTCTTCCTGGTTTAAACCAGAAGCTCTGTTTTTTAATGTTAATATTTTATGTAATATATCAAAAACAAAGCAATAAATAAAAAGAATGACATAAGAATACTTGAAAAAAAATATTTTTCAGTAAGAAAAACACAAAGGCAGGCTTTCTCTGGGCAGCGTGCCCAAATTACTCAATCAAAACCCTTTGGTAGCCATTTAAAATCTACTGTATAATTCTACATTTTTCTCCACATGTTTTTGATATGAATTTGAGGTATCAGTAACACAGACTAAATCCATATCCCTGCATCGTATTGACAAGATCATCTTTCACAATCCTGGTGTTGCAATGGTTTACCAGCAGTATCTCACGGCGTGTTTGTTTTAGTCGAAAAGCGCAAGGTCCACAATGCATTTCTGGCCAGCCACGATCAATGCCAATAAACGCTGTGTAGTGTATTTGAACAGTTATCTTAAATCATCCATCACAGAAACTTTTAAACAAACACACCTTTCATCAACACTGATGTATTAAGCCATTTCTACACAGATCACCCAATAATATCTCAAAAGACTTTTATTCCTCTGCACAACACAAAACAAAACTTTAGCATTTGTTTTTTCAGTGTATGCATTAAAACACCTAAAAAACTGACAAAATTCATGCCTTTTTTCTACTCTTTTCTGTCCTGTATTGTAAGATAAAAATGTATAAATTAAATGATATATAGTTAAGTCAAAATTATTAGCCCTCCTGTTAAATTGTTATTTTTCTATATTTTTTCTCTAGTTTCTGTTGAATGGAGTGATTTTTTTTTGAACATATTTCGAAACATAATAGTTTTAATCATAATATAATAAGTTTTAATCATAATAGTTTAACTCATTTCTAATAACTGATATATTTTATCTTAGTCATGATGACAGCAAATATTTGACTAGATATTTTTCAAAACACTAGTATTTAGATTAAGATGGCTAATAATATAAAATGTTTGTTTTTTTTTATTATAAAAAACTACTTTTATTCCGGCCAGAGGAAAAACTATTATTGGAAATACTGTGAAAAATTCCTCGCTTCATTAAATATATTTCTGATTACACATATTTCACTGGAGGGCTAATAAGTTTGCCCTCATCTGTATGTAGAACAGTGGTTCCCAAAGTGGGAGTCGTGGGACATTGACAGAGTGGTGATTTTAAAATTAGTCAAAGTTATTTGAATAATATTGATTATCTATAAGTTTTAATAAACTAATTTAAAAAAGTTCACAATTAAATAAATAAATATGGTGTTTAACCAGTTAAGCTTTTGGATTATTTGGGGTATATCCGCCTAAATTTGGCCTTCCGATTTAAAAAGCTTCTCATAACCACATGCAGATGAGTAGATGCAAAGGTTTGATATCATTTTAAAGGAAACCCTTTGAAATTTCATAAAATACTGTTGAAATTGATTACAATTATTGTATATT